CCTTGAAATTTCCCACAAGTGCAAAATCACGTCCGGTTGTTGTTGTCGAAGTGCACTGTGAGTGTGTTCGAACCCGTCATGTTGAAATTGTTGGGAGGAGTCTTAACTACATAGATGCCTTGATGTCGATCAACCCCCGTCACGGTATGTCCAACTGTCTTTTGTGACCATAACTTCATCTTCTCTTCACACTTGATGGTGTACTGTGAACGACCACTTCTGATTTGTGCTTCTGTCTCCAATCTCATCTTATCGAATTTCTCCAACAATCGCCAATAAGTATGTTGCACAAGAGAAGCTATAGGAAGTCAACGGATACCTTTGAAAACACCATTGATGCTCTCTGCCATGTTGGATGTCATGATAGACCATTGACGCCCACCATTATAGTTATCATGCGCTAAGGTCCAACAAATTTGATGTTGATCCACCCAGTTATTACAATAAATATTCCTATCAGCGGCCACCTTCTTAAATTGCTCAACTTGACGATCGAACTTCTCCAAGCGTTTTTCTTCGGCTAACAAAGTAAATAACCACACGAGTTAGATAAATTCATGACAAAATTACTCTACGGTAAATAACAAAATTAAATGAAGAAGGCTTACCGACTCTAAATAGTTGCTCATACATAATTTTGCTTTTAGTCTTTCTTGCAAGTTGCTTGCATAGTATCGCATGCACCACCTCCACTCCCAACCTCTTTCGATGTCACTTATGCCTTCATAAAGTCCCGCATGTCTATCTGAGATGATGCAGACATCATTTCGATCGGCCAAACCTTGAACGTGATTTATGAACCATGACCAACTTTCAGTATTCTCGCTCTCCACGATGGCAAATGCTATTTGAAAAATCTTCTTCCGTCCATCAAATGAGCTCGCCATGAATAGCACTCCTTTATACTTCCCAGTAAGAAATGTTCCATCAACAACCATGACTCCTGGACAATTCTTGAATCCATATATACAAGGTCCATAAGCTCATAATACTCGCTGAAAGATCGAATAACCTGGTTGAGCTGAAGGAACTCTTCCCCAATCAATCACTAATGTTGGCATTTTTCTCTTTACCACCCGCAAGAATGTTTGCAAATAATCGTAGGATTCTTCCCAATTTCCATGCAACTTCTCTAATGCTCTTTGTTTCCCATACCAAGCCTTCTTGTAAGTAACTTGCATATTAAACTTATCTTTCAACTCTGCCTGCACATTTAGAACACTCAGATTTGGTTGGGCACGTACCAAATGTTTGACGGACTCAGATATAATATCGACATCAAGATGGCGATGATCCGTCAGTTGAGTCGTACTGCTACAAGAATGCACCAACTCGGCCTTTCTCACAATCCATTTTCTTCCAACATCTCGACATCCAAACCACACCATCCAAGGACAATTGTCATCCTTATGCTTTAAGCATATGACCTTCCAGATTGAAGGTGATGACTCCACCACGTCATACTGAAAGTTGCGTTGTAGTGCGTGATATTTAATCGCCACCTGTGCAGCTTGTTTCAAGTGAAATATCTGCCCCCTATAGAATTCTCCTTCAAAACTAGCAACAATAGGCATTGGAATTACGCCATATGAATCAGCATATGATAATGTGTCGTCCTCTTCATTACCTGCAAGTAAAAATATGGAGGATAATTAGGCCGCTCTCCTTCGCCATCTTCCTCCTCCTCCTCCTCCTCCTCCTTCTCCTCCTCCTCTTCCGCATCATCCTCCTCTCTGTCAACATCGTCATGATCGGATGGCATGCTCCATGTATCTTCTTCCTCTCCATCCCGATTCTCACTGAGCTCAACATGTATCTCAGCACCCAAACAGTAATGGTTTTGTGCCATAAAATCGAAAAGCATATTCAAACTATCATCATCCACAATAGGCATCGCATAATGAAATAAAACACCATTCTGCCATTCTGGAAGACGGTAAGTGAAACCTGTGATCACATCACTATCTTGTACTGCTTAGTCTCTACGTCGTATTCTCGGAATTAGATTCTCACAAAGTTTGTGATATGTCACCCTGGATGGAACCGTCAACTGAAAACTACTACCATCAACGAATTGGATGCCCAAATTATCCTCTACTTTCTCCGATTTCCACTGAACGACTAATTCAAATCTTCTAAAATCACTACAGAAAAACAAACTCACTAATTAACTAAACAAAATCATAATAGCATTTGAAGAATATAATTAAAAAAAAAATTTGTCTCTTACCTATTAGCCATTTTTGCAGCAGCAACCAAAGCTTCTCCTCCTCTAAAGTCGTCGATTTTTTTTGGTGAACTACTAAAATGAAATTCGCTGGTATTATAGGGGGTAGCCAGCAATACGCCAGGGGACCCGCCATAGTCATGGGCGCCATCCTTAGGTACAAATTCCCACCAACTCGCCTCAGTCTCTGGCGTAACCGCCTCAGTCTTGGGCACTGCCGCTGTCACCTTAATCAAATGATCCAAAAAAACAGAAATAGCGGCAGCGCCTGAGTCTCGGGCGGTCTCGCCGGTTTTGCTCTCCAAAACACAATAATGTGTCAATACTTTTTAATCCGCCATATTGATGGTAAATTAAAAAATACAATATTTATATCATTACCCCCCCCCCCCCAAAGTACACACGTTATTAAAAAAATTCTCAAAATACACACATTTGATGAATATTCTCAATCTACACATATTTGGACCTCACCACGGCCGCCGGAAGCGGTGAACGCCTAATCTAGGCCAAAACTTCGAACGAATGTAATTTTGCCTCGGTTATCCGATCGTAGCGAAAAAAAATTTGGTTTAGCATAATTTTCAAGATCTTGCAAGTCTTAAACAGCCAGAGACGTGTATGGTCACTCTTTCGTCGCGAAAAAACGTTGTTTACTATCCCAAACGAGCAACTTTTAGATTTTGTCAACCTTTGTACGATAATAACTTTGTGCTCTGCTATCCAAACGTTTTATATTTTTTTTCCGGTTTTAATGACTACAACTTCTACTATAAAGTAAATTTCAAAATATAGCGGCAGAGGGTCAACTTAGTACTCATCGTTTGTTTTTGTTCTCGTCGTTTGTTGTACAAGTCAACAGTTGACAATGGTGCATTGTGATTGTGAGTCCCAAGTCCTAACCATCAACCAAGAGGTGATCAATAATGGTTCCAAAATGTTTTTTTTTTTTCGAATAAAGGGATGCAAAAGTCAGGATTCAAATTACAAAGGGGAACAGCCCACTAAGCGGCCAATGGTTCCAAAATCCAAAGTGTTTGTTACACACCAACTCAATAACGTGTAAATTGCAAGATTGGTCATTAAAAGTACTAAAAAATTCACGTTTGGTCACTAAAAGTGTTTTATTCCATTTATGGTCACTGAAAGTGATTAAATGTTTCACGTTTGGTTACTCTCCGTAAGTCTCCGTTAACACTGTTAGTTTTTTTGCTGACATGGCTAACAAAACCGCCAATTCATCAAATTTTAACCGGCCACGTCAGACCCTATCATAACCCAACCTAACTCAACCCCTAACCCAAGCTAAATCGACCATACCCCACCCACCTTCCCACCACCGTCGCCGCTTACCATCCCCATCTGCAACCACAGCACCGTCGCAGCCTTGACGCTCTACTCTCCGCCTCCTTTGTGACCTCCACAACTCTCTTCAATCCCCTCCCGTTGACTCCCTAGAAACCTCGATTGCGGCTCTTCATCCAAATCTTCCTGCAAGCGATTGATGACCAAAGATAGCAAGAAGATCTAGATCTACAATTAAAACTTGGACGAGGTTTTCTGCTGTGAACCAGATCGATGTCGACTGTTCCGACTGTGATAATCGAACAAGATAGATCTGCTGCCCCAGTTTGAGATCTTCCTTGTTGCGGCTCTGCTCTCGCCTCTCGCTGCCCTCTAATCTTCTGACCACCTCTAATCAACCGAACGTCTGTTGTCTCGGTTCGATTCCCATCGTCGTCTCGCCTTCTCATCTCTAGCAACTCAAGGAGAGGTGAGGCAGAATCTTAATCAGGTCTTCCTCTCCGATTGGAAAGTCAGCGACGAGTAGGCCGGAATAGAGAGGGAGGAGGCACGCATTGAGAGAAAAGGAGCATCATCGGTGAGGAAGTTACAGTTGGAAGGAGGGAGATCGGGAGTCGGTGTCCTCCCTCAACTCTCATTTATCATCAGCGTTCTCCTCTGTATTGTCCTTCTTTCGATCAGAAACCCCAAAGAAGCAAAGTGGGAGAAAGGCGACAATTCGTAGAGGGAGGAGAAATAAAGGTGAAGAAGAGAGGCTCGAATCGGTGGGGGTTAAATTGGGTTGGGTTGAGTTATTTACTGGGTCTGATTTGGCGGGTTATATGACGTGGCACGTCAAAATTTGGTGAATCAGCGTTTCTGTTAGCCACGTTAGCAAAAAACTGACAGTGTTAATGGAGACTAACGGAGAGTGACCAAACATGAAACGTTTAACCACTTTAAGTGACCACGAATGGAATAAAACACTTTTAGTGAACAAACGTGAATTTTTTAGCACTTCGAGTGACCAACCTTGCAATTTACCCACTCAATAACTCATGCACTACAACATTTAATTAATCCAATTCAATTTATTTCAAATTCAATGGGTTAGTGTGTGCGAATGGTTATTATTAAGGGTAACATGCAAATGACTAATATTTTGATACGTTACAAAATATTTGTTCAATATTTTGTATTTCGAAAATTTTGGCTAATAAATTGTATTTATCTTAAAATATAGTTCAAACATTATATTTTTTGTTCCTGAAATTTTTTATGATGACATTAGTACCTAAAATTTTCAGAATGGTCTAAAAGTTGGATGTCACTTGGATTCACCAATTCAATACATGAAACCACAATCTATTTAGTATTATGTTCTTTACTTTTATTAAGAGATCTGACACCGGAAACAGAAAACACAAAAGGTAACATCAAATTGAAGCATAAGAAGAAAAAAGAGGACGGTGGTACAAAATAGAATCAATCAATCATCAAGAGGAAGTTCGGTTCCCTGCAATTTGAACTGTGTGAGTTGGTCGATGCGCTCAGCCATCTGAGGAGTCAAGTAGTTCTTCCAATCCCCCACAGTTCCTTTCCTGAAGAAGTGGGCATTTGATAATTGGCCTACCAGTACACCGTTCTTGTTAACCTCCAACTCCTTGAGCCTACCCAAACTGCTACGCCACAACACTTTCTCCACCCCCTCATCATCATCTCCATCGCGCGTCGTCAACGTCGAGGGAAACGGCCTCCCCATAAAAGAAGCCAGCTTCCTCACCTGCTCTTTGGGCTCCCTGCACAGCTCCTCGTACTTGAGAAACAACACCTCCTCGGGTCGCCTCTGGCTCTCTTCCCAGTAGCCCAGCACGTGTTCGTAAAATGGCCCGTAAGGCACAGCCCCGCTGCAGAAGCTCTCCACCGCTCCCTCCAGAGGGAACGGCTCGGAACCACCGTCGCGCGTGAACATCTTGTTGTAGAAATGCCACATCGACACCACAGTGTCCTTCGGGTTACGAGCCACGTACACGAACCTGCACCCGGACTCCCTCACCGCCTCCGGCAAGTAACAGTAAGGCACGTGAGTGTGGAGCAGCCGGGGTGGCGAACAGCTGAGCAGCATACGCTGGACTCCGTCCTCGACGAAATTGATTTCCAACGAGGGAACCACTTCGTGGGGGTTCATCTTCGCCAGACGGTCTTCTTCTTCGTCGTCGTCGAATTTAAGGATGTTGTAACAGAGAGCCTTGAGCCAGGTGGTTCCGGTTTTGATAAAGGATGTCAAGAAGATGTCGTCGCTTCTCGGCCGGAATCCGGACCGGAATGCGGCAATGCGTTCCGTACCCACCACAAAATACCAAAAGCCGTCTATCTGGCAGATCTCGAGAGAGTTCCAAAACAGCACCTTTGGCATATTATTGTTCATCGCAGCGCAATTAACACAACAGTACTACTACTAGTTGAAGAGACAAATACTGCTGTGCTTATTTCACGGCCCTACCAGCGCTTTTAGTAGCACCATAGCAGAGGGTCAACTGGTTCGAAAAAGTTTGTTAAATACAAAGTTGTCCTTGGCCATTGTAAAAGTGACTTCCTACATTCAGGGGCGGAGACACAGTGTTAGAAGGGTGTGCCGTGGCACACCCTTGGCTCGGGGCTAGAACATTAAAAAATAGGGGTATTAGTTTATGTTATAGTTAGGATTTGAACATGGAATCCCCTTACTATTAGCTTTGACATCTTCCACTAAACAACAATTACTTACATGATACAATAATACATTCTATTGCATATATATAATTTACCGTTTACAAATAATAAGTAAATTAAATTAAAAAACCTCATAATTACATGCTTATTCAAGAACTAAACGAATGTATTTTACAGACTTTTCAAAATATGAAAACCCGGGTCACTATAAAAAATTGATAGTTATTTTAATTTTTTTAAATTGGCACCCCCTTACTCAAAATCCTGGCTACGCCACTGCCTACATTAACAGGAAATTCTATGATTGTGAGTTGTGACATTTCACACTCAAATCAGTGGTTGATGATTCCAAAACATTTGTTATACACCAAGTTGCCATTCTCTGGAGTCGTAGTCAACTCTTGGTTTCAGAAACTAGACGGTTGACCTGCCGGATTATGAGCACGAGCAACCAGCCGTTCGATGGTGACTCGCCAGCTGATATCATATTCGATAGGGCGGAAAATTGGCATGATCCGCCCCTGACCCTGTCCTTGTATGACCTGTCCCTAAAAGATCAACATGTATAACTTATCCGCCCTGTCCCTGTTTCTTTCATGACCCTGTCTGACCCTTTAGGGTCGGGGCGGGTGAGGAAGGGTCGGGCCAGTGGATCGACCCTGATAAATACACTACATTTAAAAAAAAAAAAAATTTGTTACCCGAATTTATTTTTTCTTACATTTTAGTACCTAAATTATATTTTTTACAAATAAGTCCCAAAATTTGATGGTAAAATTATATTTTGGTACCCAAAATCATTTTTTGTTACAATTTAGTACATAAACTTTTAAAACTTTACAAATAGGTTCAACGTGTTTGTATGATGCTAAGGGTCATAGGGTCAAAAAGTGACCCGACCCTACCTGACCCTGACCCTGACCCTAAGATGTCCCTGTAGACAAACTAACTCAGCCCGACCCTCAGGATCGGGGCGGGGCGATGGGTTTTAAGGGTCAAACTTACACCCCTATTATTCGACGCCTAAGCCACAAAGCAATGTAGTCAAAAGCGAGTTTCTACGTAGAAACGTTTTGGTGATCTAGAAGCGTAAAATCGTAAGTTCTTAAATTTTAAAGCGGAGTTTTTAGCTACATAAGTTATAAAAACTAAGATTTTGTGTAGAAACGTTTTAGTGACCTAGGAACGTAAAATCGTAAGTTTTTAAGTTTTAAAGCGTGATTTTGACTACATTGCCACATAGTACAAGTCACTAAGTTGGTCGCAGGCCGACGCTGCCACCTCCGACGAAGAAATTACGGTGGCTGCAGCGTAAGATTGAACAAGGATTTGAATGGCCCTTCCGACATTCATATCAAACAAACACCCAGACCGCGGTATTGTCTACAGGTCATGGTGACTGGAATAAGCATAAAATTAAATCTGTCACAAGTCCTTTTGCATTAAGGCTTTGATCATTTCATTCAAACATTCTGCCCATGTTCCCCAAACAACATCTTATCAGGAAACAAAAAGCACAAAGACACAGCTGCGTGACCCTCAGATGAATCATTCAACTTGGAGACAGTCTTAGTCTTCCCCAGTGTTCATGGATCAACCCTATCTGCATATTCGATAACAAATCTGTAAGACAGATGCGAACATCTTCTACTTATAATAAAAAGGGAGGTTTTACAGCATAAACCCAAAGGAATAACAGCAACAGTTTCTAACAAGAATGACTTGGTGGGGAAATGAGCATTACTGAATCCAAAATGAACACAGTTTTGGAACATCAGTTGTTATAATCCGACCACACAGCAGAAATGACTCGAATACAACCTTAATCAAGAAATACAATAGGAGCTGCACTTAGCAAACGTCAGTGGAGCTAACCTTTTTATTATTGCACTGGAAAAGAGGCAGGTTTCAGTCATTATCTTCTCGGCCATAATTGTAGACGATCTCAATCTGCAGAAGAAACCAAAATATCGTATGGGGAAAGGATCAGGCAGGTTATAAGGTAATCAAAGCTACAACCTTGCAGCCTAAGCCATCCATTACAGTTAAAGCATACTGCACAATTGATAATGACAGACTTGCCAGCATCTTTCCTTCCTCCTATCCTGTTCAGCAATCAAGTTGCAAGAGAAAGAAGATCTAAAACAGTAGAGTAGAGCCAGCCACTAACAAGCATGTACTGAATCAGGAAACAATTTAGACCAAAAGCAAGCAAAAAGAGACTTTAAGTCTCTTCAGACCATCTAACCAATCACCAACGAGGTATTAAGATAGACTACCCAAGTTGGGATCCCAGAGTTCAAATTGCATCTTTCACATAGAGTTGACATCAGCAAATTCAAGCTACAAACAATCCATGAAGTGCATATCCCATTCATGAACCTTTAAGCTCTCCGGTACAATGCATAAAGGTGAAATAACTGTTCTCATCCGACGAAAAAAGATAAAATCTTATCTAACAAATTCTTCTTATGGAAATTTTTTACCCAACCTGAAGTCTATGTATTTGTCTGAGAGATAAAGACTACTGAGAGATAAAGACTACCAAAAACAATTCTCATAGGGAAGACCAAAATACGTTTGCAAGAGAAAACAAAGGCATCAACAAGAAATCGTAACATGACTAACCAGTATATCTGCATAACAGAAAACGATAATTACAGCCTCGAATAGGAAAGCAGCGCAGTATTTATTCTTTTACTAGTGGGGAAAACCTTAACTTCAGCGAAACAGAAGGAAAATAACAGACTTTAGAAATTGAAGTTTCATATCAACTTTGATCCCCCCTAGAGTAAAATTAACACAGAAACATAAACCCATTCTCTCCAGACTTCGACATAACATCAACCAGAACATCATAAATGGAACATCAAAGACGAAAGTGTAAGTCTAGAAAGCAGAGATAGCTCTTTCTCGTCAAGTTTGAATTTTTTTCATAACAATTGCTATAGATACAATTACACGAAGCACCCACATGATCCAAATGTAGCTCTGTGTTCTGATTTTCAGGAGAATGCATCAAACCAGAACACCTAATTCGCTAGGAGTGCTGATAAAACACTCCCCAAGTACAAAGCGATAGAATTAAGAAAAATTCTCTGAAAAGAAGAATCTGTATACAGCTTATCATTTCATAAGCACGGCCATCACGTTCACTGGCAAATGGAGATCCCAAGAACCCTAAAGACTGAAAGAACAAAAAAAAAAAAAAAAAACTATATGATGGTGAATTAGAAGGCGTACCACTCCTTTATTCACCTCAAAATGCAACACCAAATTGAAGCAGAACAAGACAAAAAAAGGTTGGTGGTATGACTATAGCATCAATTAATCGTCAAGAGAAAGTCCGGTCCCCTGGAACTTCAAACGTGTGAGTTGGTCGATGCGCTCAGCCATCTGAGAAGTCAAGTAGTTCTTCCAATCACCCACCATCCCTTTCCTGAAGAAGTGGGCATTCAGTGCTCGAGCTGTCTCCCATGTGCCATTCTTGTTAACCTCCAAATCCTTGAGCCTACCCAAGCTGCTACGCCACAACACCTTCTCCACCACCACCTCATCATCATCTCCACTCGCCATCGACGAGGAAAACGGCTTCCCCATAAATGAAGCCAGCTTCCTCACCTGCTCTTTGGGCTCCCTGCACAGCTCCTCGTACTTGAGAAACAACATCTCCTCAGGTCGTCTCTTGCTCTCTTTCCAATAGCCCACCACGTGTTCGTAAAAAGGCCCGAAGGGCACAACCCCGCTGCAGAAGCTCTCCACCGCTCCCTCCAACGGGAACGGCTCGGGGCCGCCGCGTGTGAGCAGCTTGTTGTAGAAATGCCACATCGACACCACTGTGTCCTTCGGGTTACGAGCCACGTACACAAACCTGCATCCGGACTCCCTCACCGCCTCCGGCAAGTAACTGTAAGGCACGTGAGTGTGGAGCAATCGGGGAGGCGAGCAGCTGAGCAACATACGTTGGACTCCGTCCTCGAGGAAATTGATCTCCAGCGAGGGGACCACTTCGTGCGGATTCTTCTTTGCCAGACGGTCTTCTTCTTCGTCGGCGTCGAGGTTAAGGATGTTGTAACAGAGAGCCATGAGCCAGGTGGTTCCGGTTTTGGTGAAGGATGTCAAGAGTATGTCGTCGTTTCTCGGCTTGAATCCGGACCTGAATGCGGCAATGCGTTCTGTACCTTCGACGAAATACCAGAAGCCGTCTATCTGGCAGATCTCGTGAGAGTTCCAAAACAGCTGCTTTGGCATGATATTATTCATCGCTGCCAAAACAAGGCAATGAACACAACAGTACGTGCCTACCAGCGCTATACCTATATAGTAGCAAAGGGACAACTTAGTGAATTAATTGTTAGAAAGTATGAGCATTTGGATTATGGATAGTCATTATTTATTTTTGTTTCGTTGTTGCCATTGGAGCATTGTGATTGTGAGCCTTTACTCTCAACCAAGAGGTCAATGGTTCCAAAACGGATTGTTATACACCAAGTAGCCATTAGCCATTGTAATAGTGACTTCTTACATTATTAACAAAGCGGTCAATGGTTCCAAAAATGTTTGTTATACACCAAGTGGTCATTGGTCATTGCGATTGTTAGTTCTGACAATCAACTTAGTGATAAGTGTTTCTGAAACGATTGTTATACCCCAACTTTTCATTGGACGTTGTGATTGTTATTACACTCAACTAAGTGGTAAAGGATTCCATAGGGTTTGTCGTACCCCAACCATTTGCCAATGTGGTCAACGGTTCCAAAGCGTTTGACATGCCTCAAGTTGGCATTGACCATTGTGATTGTTAAACACTTATCCGAGGTCAATGGTTCCAAAATATTTGTTAGACGCCAAGTTGTCATTAGCCATTGCGATTATTAGTTTACACGCTCAACCAAATGATCAATGATTCCAAAACGTTCATTACACACCAAGTTGCCATTAACCATTGTGACTGACATTTTACACTCAACTTGTGGTCAACGGTTCCAAGACATTTGTTACACACCATGATGTCATTGTCCACTGTGATTGGGACATAACATTTCACACTCAACAGAGTGGTTAATGATTCCATATTATTTGTTATACACCAAGTTGCCATTTGTCATTGTGAAGAATTCTTACACTCAACCGAGTGGTCAATGGTTCCAAACCGTTTGTTATACACCAAGTTGTCATTAAAACTTTGTGATTATAAATTTGTTACAATGGTCGATGGATCCATAGCATTTGTTATACTTATACACCAAGTTGCCATTCTCTGTAGTCGTAGTCAACACTTGGTTTCAGAAACTAGCCGGTTGACCTGCCGGATTAGGAGCACGAGCAACCAGCCCTTCGATGGCGACTCCCCAGCTGATATCATATTCGACGCCTAAGCCACAGAGTACAATTCACTAAGTTGGTGGCAGACCGATGCTGCCACCTTCGAGGAAGAAATCATGGTGGCTGCAGCATGCGATTGAACAAGGGTTTGAATGGCCATTCCCACATTCTATCAAACAAACACCCAGACCGCGGTATTGTCTACAGGGCATGGTGACTGGAATAGGAATAAAATTAAATGTGTCACAAGTCCTTTGGCATTTAAGGCTTGATCATTTCATTCAAACATTCTGCCCATGTTCCCCAAACCACATTTTATCAGGAAACAAAAAGCACAAAGACAGCTGCGTGACCCTCAGATGAATCAACCAAACTGGGGACCGAGTCTTAATCTTCCCCAGCGTTCATGGATCAACCCTATCTGCATATTCGATGACAAAGCTGTAAGATAGGTGCGAACAGCCTCTACTCATAATATAAAGGGAGGTTATTACAGTATAAACCCAAAGGAATAACAGTAACAGTTTCTAACAAGAATTACTCCATGGGGAAATGAGCATTACTGACACCAAAATGAACACTATTTTGGAGCATCAGTTGTTATATTCCGACCACACAGCAGAAGTGACTTGAATACTACCCCAATCAAGAAAGTTAAAAGGAGCTGCACTTAGAAAACGTCAGTGGAGCTAACCTTTATTATTGCACGGGAAAAGAGGCAGGTTTCAGTCATTATCTTCTCGGCCATAATTGTAGACGATCTCAATCTGCAGAAGAAACCAAAATATCGTATGCTGAAAGGATCAGGCTGGTTACAAGGCAATCGACGCTATAACCTTGCAGCCTAAGCCATGCATTACAGTTAAAGCATACTGCACATTTGATAATGACAGACTTGACGCATCTTTCCTTCCACCCTATCCTATTCCCCAATCAAGTTGTAAGAGAGAATATCTAAAACAGCAGAGCCAGCCACTAACAAGCATGCACTGAATCAGGATACAATTTAGATCAAAAGCAAGAAAAAAGAGACTTTAAGTCTCTTAAGACCCTCTAAGCAATCACCAACGAGGTATTAAGATAGGCTACCCAAATTGTGGTCCTAGAGTTCACATTGCATCTTTCACATAGAGTTGACATCAGCAAATTCAAGCTACAAACAATCCATGAACTGCAAATCCCATTCACGAACTAAGCTCTCCGGTACAATGCATAAAGATGAATTTCTCATTCGATGAAAAGATCAAATTTAATCTAACAAATTCTTATTATGGAAATTGTTTACCCAACCTGAAGTCTATGTATTTGAGTCTACGTCCATTTTTTCCCTTCATCACGAACTCAATAGACAATTGCAGACTACCAAGATTCAATTAGCGTACGCAAGAAATCATTACCTCAACTTCTGGCAATATTTTGCCATCAGGGAAGATACGTTTAATGACATTATAAAACATCAGAAAAAAAAGGTTGACTTACCCCTTCAGGCGGAGTTGGGTTTCGAGTGAACTTAGAACCACCAGGAGCCCATGGAACTGTAAACAAGCAGCAAAAGTAAAATTAAGGATTGAATGGGTAGCTTTAGAACTGAATATTCTGAGCAACAGCAAACTTGAATACTAAAACCAACAATCTAAGGAATACATCTATAAGGAGTAGGACAACATGTATGGCTGAAATGCTATTGAGAGCTCAATCAGAACAAGAACCTGAGTCAATCAGGTCTCGGTATGATTATTTACCTATGTAAGGATCAGGATGCCGCCACTTATTGTATTGTGCCTCACCATCAGCAATGAGCCTATCAATTGTGTCAGGATCTTCCTGCCAATGAATAAAATAGAACCCAACAACAAAACAATCAAAGCATCAAAAGAAAGCCACAAAGTGGGGGGTGGGAATTACAACACAAGGCCATCCACCGAGAGATAAAGACTACCAAACACAATTCTCATATAGAACACCAAAATACGTTTGCAAGAGGAAACAAAGGCATCAACATGAAATCGTAACATGACTAACCAGTATATCAACATTTCCAAGCCCTACATATCAGAAACCGATAATCACAGCTTCGCATAAAAAAGCAGCACAGCATTTGTTCTTTACTAGTGGGGAAAACCTTAACTTCAGCAAAGCAGATGGATAAGAACAGGTTTCGAAATTGAAGCTTCATATCAACTTTGATCCACCGTAGAGTAAAAGTAACACAGAAACATTAACTCTTTCTCTCCAGACTTCGACATATCATCAACCAGATCATCATACATGGAACATCAAAGACGAAAATGTAAGCCCAGAAAGCAGAGATGGCTCGTTCATGTCAAGTTTGAATTTTTCCATTACAATTGCTATAGATACGATTATACGAAGCACCCACATGATACAAATGTAGCTCTATGTTCTGATTTTCAGGAAAATGCATCAAACCAGAACGCCTAAAATTCGCGAGTCGTGCTGATAAAACACTTTCCAATTACAAAAGGATAGAATTAAGAAAAATTCTCAGAAACGAGGAATCTGCATACAGCTTATCATTTCATGAGCACGGCCATTACGTTCACTGGCAAATGGAGATCGCAAGAACCCTAAAGACTGAAAGAACAAAAAAAAAACTATATGATGGGGAATTAGAAGGCGTACCACTCCTCTATTCACCTCAAACCTCGCCCGAAGATTATCAGCCTGTGACCAATAAGTCAGCGGAGTTAGCAAACGATTCAAGATACCACGAAAAGGCGCAAATGTAATGCCAATGAGATCCAATCGCGAAGGAAATGATCGTATAAAGAGATGAACGTACATCTTCGTAGAAGAGGTGACGGTGGACTGCCCAGTTCAGAGTGTCCTTCAGAGCCTTCCGGTAGAGGATCCGAACCCGCTCCCGCTGCGCTGCCCGCCGAGCAGCGTACGCCGCCGTTGACGCCACACTCATATCTTCGTCTCTCTCTCCGTCAATTGATCGAGCGTCTGCTCCTTCCTCTGAGAGCTGGAGATGACACCAAACAGAGGAATCATATGAAAGGCCAACAAACTTGGGCCAGAATGCTTTTCATGGGCTCAAGGACCCGAAAACTCAGTGTCTTGTTTTTGCGCTAGCTTGGGCCAGATAGCCCTTGATAATAACGTCCGCTTACTCACTGTATTTTCTCTTTCTTGCTCTATTTCTCTCCGCATTCTTGCTTTTTTCTTCACTGAATCGGAAACTTGAAGATGGCCGGAATCGAGAGACTCCAGCGGATGCTTGGCGGCGCCGGCGGTGGGTTCGGGCATCCCCCGACCGATGGCCCCGCCGTTGACTCGTCGGAGCAGGTCTATATTTCATCGCTCGCCCTTCTGAAGATGCTTAAACACGGTACCATTCTTCCCTCTACGCTGCTCAGTTGCCGGGTCTAGGGTTTTGGGATCTGTTGGGGTTGTGGCTTGTTTGGATGCTTGCCACCAAATGCTCTCCAGATTTTGGTTCCATGGCCATGGCTGGGTGCTGCCGTTTTGTGGTCCTGTTGAATTGAAAATCGAGATCGATCGTAATTTTGCTTCTTACTTTTTCTCCACAGGAAGAGCTGGAGTTCCCATGGAGGTCATGGGTCTGATGCTTGGAGAGTTTGTGGACGACTATACTGTTCGTGTCGTGGACGTCTTTGCGATGCCGCAGAGTGGTACTGGCGTCAGTGTTGAAGCTGTCGACCATGTTTTCCAGACTAACATGCTCGATATGCTCAAGCAGACTGGGAGGTGAGTTTGTACGGATTGCGTTGTTGCTGTAGAATAACATTGGGCATGGTATCAAAACATAAATTTGCTTGATACTTACTGCTGAGATTGCTTAAACAATGAAAAAGATATCTTTGAGGTTGACATATGATGTTCCAGAAAGAAAAAAGAGATCTCTTGATTGTAATGAAACTGCTACAATTGTGGATCAGCTCAAGGAATCTCTGTGTGGTTCTCTTTACTAGAATTGGAGAGTTTAGTTTGCTAGTTAGCTTGTTCACAGGCAGGAACGAAATGACATAATGTTGTTTCTAGTTGTTTTGCTGAACTGGCTACTCAGTTCAAAGCTGCCTACTATTTGACGGCTGTAACCTAACTGTTTCCTATTCATTCCAGGCCGGAGATGGTTGTTGGATGGTACCATTCTCATCCAGGATTTGGATGCTGGCTCTCTGGTGTTGATATTAACACACAGCAGGTTTGTTTAGTTTCATTATGTTTGTCTTTTTTTTTTTCTAGTATTCTTATTATTGTATTTCATAGTTTAACTACTTTTGATTGATTATGTTAGTGATTGATCATTTTGAGATTGTTGAGCCTTTGTTAAGAATGTGCAAATCAAGCATTATCATTGAGTCTTATCTTTACTGGCAGAGTTTTGAAGCTTTAAATCAACGGGCAGTTGCTGTTGTGGTGGATCCTATTCAAAGTGTGAGAGGGAAGGTCGTGATTGATGCCTTCCGTCTCATCAACCCTCAGACGATGATGCTCGGTCAGGAACCCAGGCAAACAACTTCCAATCTTGGGAATCTCAACAAACCATCCATTCAGGTGAAAAATAATGCTGGTCTATACTATTCTGTACTGAACAACGCCTTTTTTCCTTTCTGTCCTCCACTAACAACTCATATGATTACTCCAAAACTTCAGGCGTTGATCCATGGACTGAATAGGCATTACTATTCAATTGCCATTAACTACCGGAAAAATGAACTTGAGGAGAAAATGCTTCTCAACTTGCACAAGAAGAAATGGACTGATGGATTGACTCTCAGGCGGTTTGATGGTCATTCAAAAACCAATGAGCAGACTGTTCAGGTGGGTACAGATTTTTTCCTCTTACATTGGGCCTTATGTCAATGTTCCCTTTTCGTGCTTACATTGTTGAGAGAAGGATGCTAAGTGTTGTCATACAGGAATTTAGATATTAAGGTTATCAGTTTTTTACTGAAGCTCATTTAATCTAGATAGCCTGAAAATTAAGTACAAGATATTTGAACAAACGGGAAAAGTTAATCCCTCTAGTGCTTGGTTTACTGTCAGTCAGACTTAGTATTGTGGCTTTTCAAGTGACCTTCCATACGGTACTTTTCTTCATTTCAGTGAGTGTATAACTGGTTAATCGTTGGTTTGTGTACAAATAGTCCCTACTCCGACTCTTGTAATTCCATAATTGGGATTGGACTAGCATAAACTATAAACCACCGCTGGCAGTTTGCTTTGTTCTTTGTTTAATTGTAATTAGATCATTTCGAGTTATGCATGTGTTTCTAGTGCGATCCCATTTGCTAATGCTGATGAACTCTGTATCTCCTTGTCGTTTGGCATGGTTTGGATTGCAGGAGATGTTGAACTTAGCAGTCAAGTATAACAAGGCAGTGCAAGAAGAAGACGAGCTTCCACCTGAGAAGCTTGCTATTGCAAATGTGGGACGACAAGATGCCAAAAAGCACCTTGAAGAACACGTTTCTAATCTGATGTCGTCCAACATCATCCAGACTCTCGGCACCATGCTTGACACAGTTGTCTTCTAAGCTTAATGTCTCTCAATCAGCGTTACTCTTCGTCTGGTTTTTGTATTCAAAGGATCCTGGTACTTTGTACTATAGACTCAATAGTTCGTGTCACATGGATAACCGAACTACTCTTGTATTCATTTTTAGTTTGCGAAAGAAGTAACAGCTTTTGATAATGGTTTCACTTCAGTAGCTAAAAATTCTGTAGTTACAGTCCCCATGAAACAACCAGCTTTCGCAGACTGCAGAATCTCAAGTCTCAAAAGATATGGATTCTTGTACTGTAAATCAGAAGCCAATACATTCATTCCCCACCAGAAAATCTACTCTATAGTCAATCAAACTACTACACATTAGAATTTACACTCTTCAATCTTCACTCTTGTTTCAAACATCACCCATCACTCCATACAAAAATCAAAAAATGGGGGAAACCCCAAATCACACTCGACCTGTAATACTCTACTCATGATCCGCTACTACAAAAGAGAAGACTTGCTGTAAGTCCAGCCCAGGGAGTTCGTTCTTGTTGTGCTTGGAGGTGTGAAACTCAGCCCAAACATCTCCTTGAGTGCCTGTCCTTGCTCTGCAAACCTCACCAGCTTTGCAACAATGGCTGCACTCTCTGTGATGTGGTCTACGTCTTTCGTGTTGCCCCACAGTCGGTTGACCAACTGAAGCTTTCTTCGCTTTGAGTTCAACCCAATACCCCATTTCTGATATAGCCTGTTCCTTTCGTCTCCAGACAACCTCCTCTGCATCAGCTTGCTCAGCATCACTCTCTCTCTATGAAGCGCCTTTATGCTGTCCACCCATGCAGAAAGTAGGCACATTCAGTTAGAACGCAAAAGCTTATGGAAAGAAAGAAGGCTGGAGATTGCTAAGCTGAATAGTACCTTGAGGCCAGTGTGAGAGTATGGCCTCCCGTATGGTTTGCATGAGAAAATGTTTCCTTAAGGAAGGAGAGCCTCCTTAGCTCCACCTCGAGATATATAGAATCCAATGGATCGCCTTTAAAGAGCAAGAAGAAGTACGTCCTGTGAACCAATGAGACATTGCAAGTATGCCAGAGTTCGATAATAGTTCTCTGCTGTCTCTCAAACTTCAGTGGTGAATCAGGAGTTGTTAGTTCATCGAGCATAGCATCCAATCCAATGTCCTTGACGTTAGTCTTCTTCTTATCATCCCCTAGAGTCTAACATGAACAAACCAAAATAACCAATGTCATGAGGGACTACATGGCAAACATGCTGTTGTTACAGAAGAAGAAGAAGAAAAAAAAAAAAAAAAAAGAGGGAATATTTTCTCACCTGGTTGACAAGCTGTTTTTCATACTCCTGCTTGGCCATTTCCTTCAGTCCAGCAACAAAAGTTTCAACTGTTGGAATATCCTCATCTGCAGTTGCTACACCCTGAGTCTCAACTGTTGCAGCACTCTCGATAGATGACTGAGAATCACTTCTTGTCAGTCTTGCAGCATCGGTGTCATACAACATGGATGGAAACCTTCTCCTGACGCTCTCTGGTCGCCCAGCATACTTCCTCTCCAACCCATTGGGAGGCGTGCTGTCACCAATTGTGGGGTTCTCTTTCGAGCTCCGGCTCCTCCCTAATTTCGTGCTTATAGAACTTGACCCATTAACAAGATGCAGCCTTTGTTCCATTGCTTCGTTTGTAAATCCATTATTCTGCGAGTGTTGTGCTTCTCTATCTCCGATTCCTTGAGTTGGTACTTCCTGCTCTACCCTGACTGCAGCTTGTCCTTCACTTCCACCATGTGAGATTGATGACGGATGGTGTTCAGGGTTGTTTTGCCTCGTCTCCTCCATTTCAATACACTGTACTTCTTTGCAGTACTCATCATCATCATCATCAATAATCGCAAGGCTCTGGCGAGAATTTGATCTGGCAATCTTCTTCCCAAATGGGACAAGTGAAGAAGTGGCATCAGAATCATCATCATCATCAAGACCACTGTCCTGTAGATGGCTCCCGCTGTCTCCATCAAAACGGGTTCCGTATACTCTTCTTGCACCGCCGCCATAAGTAGGGGGGTATGATTCTGACACTGAACATTCATCTTCTTCCCATCTACGCCTTTCTTGTTGGTCTGGATTCTGACTAATCTCACTCTGTAACATTACAGTTTCAAATAAAATTAAATCAATCTATCCAGCACGATCCTCAACCTTCATTAAAATGGGCGCAGTTTTGAGGGGTCAAACACAATACCGTTCTTCTTGAATTTTGATCTTGACCAATCATTTGGAGCAAATCCTGAATACGAGATTCAGCAAGATCGCGTTGCTTAGTCAGCTCCCTGATTTCTTTCTCCATCTGAAAAAAAAAATCAGAGTGAAATTAAGCAAATGCTATTGGCTGTTGGTGAAGGGATGTAATTACATATAGAGTGGAAGAGAAAGGAAAGGAAAACCTTTTGAATCTGAAGGTCTTTCTTTCTCAGCAACGTTGTATGATCGTTAGTTGATGAAGCGGGGGAAGGACTTCTCAGTTCACTCTCCAATCTAGCTAACTCTTTCTGCAGATGCTTGACCAAAGCCTTATCGGACATGACAACATTAACTTGTGCTTTCGTAGTGACTTCTTTAGCACAACAAGCAAATAGTAGCGTGTTTCTAGTTTGCTCCACATGACTCCTTGATGGGCTCAATGTGCAGATGATGGCAGTTCTAGCGTTGCCACCTAAAGCTGGTTGAAGCAACCTAGTCAGTTTTGAATCTCTGTAGTTGATGTGTCCATTTCTCCCCTTACTGTTATCAGCAGATGAAAAAGAGGACTGTTAGCAAGAGGTCTTTGCACTGCTTCCTAATTGAAGAGGCTAAAAGTGTAGCATAACTAGAATGACCAGTGGTAACATTTCATTTACCTTAGCTTACGAATAACAGTACTCAAAGTCAGTAAACTGCGGTTAATGTGGCATCCTTCCTTTAATCTTGCCCCAGAAGACAATGCCTGAGATGCACGTTCACTCCCTGCCAAGTCGACAAAATTCTACCAAAAACCAGTAAATTAGAGAAACTCCCCCAACTGCTTGGATAATATTTTTTCAATTTAGTCCAACAACCCATCAACCAGAAGCAGTTCATACCACAGTGGCTGAAAGGGTGGTCGAGTTTTCTTTGCCTAAGAACTCACGAGAAGAACTTTCAATTGTCTGAAATAAGCAGACAATAAGCACGTGTTAGAGAATGAAGACAATGGATATAGTCATAAGACAATCTTAAACCATAAGAATCAAAGAGGTATGGAAGTACCAATCTAAGGATTTGATGTGATCTGGAGCTTTTCTCATTCAAAAAGGTCTCCCCTATCTGTCTTTGAGCTGTATAGCAATAGGAAAGATTTAGTAAAAGACAGAAATAATCAGTTCCCTGAAGGGAAGGTGTTGTACGAATGCTTACTTTCACAAACTGATAGGAGCTCCTTTAGATGGTTCCAGTCCCTTAGAGTCTCTTCAGTGGCTTTCTCTACCACAGTCCCTTTCTGATAAAATAAAAAAAAAAGGAGAAAGAAACAAAACCCAGAACACGTAAGAGACTTTGTTGACTGACAACACCTTTTGCCCGAGCCAACAGGTGATGAAGCAACGCAACTCACCTCTGGATCATCTAGGAGTCTAAGTGAAGTGTTATCTGTGCTTAGGAGATCTCTGATAGCCTCGTTGTATATCTCAATTGCTGAGAACTTCAGAACAAAGGCTCTTTCTTCATGCTGCAACAGATGCGTTCTTCATGAGTACAAAATGTCCTCTAAACTAACTAAAAGTTTGACCTACAACATCGAGTCAGAATTCCAAATATACCTTGTTTATATAGTCGAATATGTCAGCTACTGTATACTCAGTGATACCATTCATTGTATACGTCTTTCCACTGCTTGTTTGACCATAAGCAAATATGCTTGCTGTAGAAAAGGTATAATAGATGCTAAGTTATGATTGCAAAGATGAAAGATAAAATCTCAAATTAAGAAGGTAATACGATGCTTACCATTGATGCCACTAACAACTGAAAGGGCCACTTCTCTGGGTCCATCCTCGTACACTTGCCTCGTTGTACAATCACCCCGAAATACTCTATCTATCCTCCAGAAGAGCAGGACAGGACAAAAATTAAGTTTCACCAAAATCAGAAGCTTTCTGGCGATCAAATGTTGCTTTGATAAAATAACATGTTCAATAAATCCCCTGCTGGGCAGAAACACAGTGTATCATGCAGTCTGTTTAACTAAAAATCTGCAGCCCAGAATCAACAAGGCATCGCTGATACATGGAGATGGAGCCAAACCAAGAACACTAACAAGCACATTACAGTTATGTGAGTTCCTCAGCTGAATCTGATTCTGCAACTTGAACATTGGAGCATAATAACAATGTGTTGAGCATGGATAAAATATACAGGAAGCTACAACATCAAAGATTTACACTCTCGATCATTCAAAACATTCAACAAGGAGAACTTACCATGGGTCTTTCATATTCTATTTCAAAATAATGGGAAAGTGAAAAAACCCCTTAATACGCCAGACTTCAACTGCATCTAGTTCAGAGCATAAAGACAGAAGACTTATGGTGGTGGCATCTAGATGATTCACAATACAAGACCAGGTGAATAACAATGCCAAAGAATCATGCATGTTATCAATCTGGCCATGAGCAATCCACTTACCAAAAGTGTAGGCCGAGGGAAACGTGGAGCCTTCACGGAGGGTATTCCGGTACAAGACAGTAGTATCATTAATACATTCCCAATCTGAAACTTCATCTCCCATGATCTCCTTGTCACTCAAAGGTCTGAGTCTCACCAAGACAAGAATCTTCTCTTCTCGTGTGCTCGCCGCCATTTGCATCTTCTCCATCTTCGGTGAGCTTTCAGCTCCAATTGACCCCATTTTTTTAGCCACACTGAATCAAATCAATCCCATCGATCAAAAAAAAGTTCTAAAAATAGCAAACCATAAGTCTCTTGAGTCAAAAGCACTCACAGTTTAGCTACTCTTTCCCCGCAAAGCAAGATGGTTTTAAGTTGTTATAGGTAAAGCTGCAGCATTGTCGCTAAAGGCATTGCAATCCATTGCTCCCTTCCTTCACCACCCAAACTGACTGTAAATAAGAAGTTAATCACCGTCATTATCCAACTAACCCAAGGGTTAAGTACTCACATTAGAGGACGGAATAAAAGAAGCAGAATATTGATCAACAGTTTCCATCAAACAAGCTATACTTGGTCGCTCTAACTAACCACCTAACAAATTTACACCCAACTTTAGAACACCAAGAAAAGAAAGAGAGAAGGCTAATGACAGCTGCCAAGCGTGAAAGTGCAAAGAAGAGAGCAAAATATATTAAAGTGGGAGCACCAAATAGGAAGCCAGAAAAGAAGAATAAGGCAAATAGCAAGTGAAAAAGGAAGACAATCGTGGAAGGGTAGTTAAGAATGAAAGCTCTTGCGTAACCTTCAGTCCTAAGATTTGATTATTTATAAATAGAAACACAAGCCCACAAAGAAAATTAAGTGAAAAAAAAGTGAAGGAACCCAAAAAACCTCATTCCTTCAACATTCATCAATTGCCATTGTCAATCCAATCATAACCCACAAAAACCAGACGAATTGCTTCAACACCAAGCCAAAGAACTGTTGAAGCTACTCTTCCCCCAACTGGGAGAGTTTAAAAGCGAAGTTTTTGGATCTTTTGCTGCTGGCATTCATGGTCCCCATTCCCAACTCTTCTCTCTAACAAAGAACCATCAAAAGAGGAAGATAGAGACAGGGAAATGGTAAGTGTACCTACAAACTCCGAGTCATTTTCAATGCCAGGAGTAAAGTTGAGTGAACGCAGTTCACAAAGTTGTGCAGGCAGCTTCCGATAAGGTAATGGAGGGGAAGTAGATTGATCCGGTGGTTTAATTACAACGCCATTTCCCCCCTCCTCACTTGCTCTGCTGCCCTGATCTGGAAAAAATTGCCAAAGACATAAATGATCCTTTCTGCAAATCTAGGACGAAAATGAAATCCCTGGCTTTGGGAAATTGAACAATGCAAGTGGTAGGTTATGTTTCCTTCCCCCGAGTTTCATGTTAATCTGATAACCGTTGCCATTAAAAGGGATCCCGTTATGCAAACATTTAAAAACTACCATTTTTGTTCCTCTCGGTAAACAACAACAAAAAAAACCCCTGTCTACTGGCTCAGAAAAAATCATGGGAGAGACGGTAGAAGAAAACAAAACAGTGGAATCAAAGCCCAACCCATCTTTCATTTTCCACCAATTTCCGAAGTCTCGAATCAGTCAAAAGAAGAACAAGCAAACCTGCAACTGGGTTTTCGTCCTTACGATCAACTGATCCGGGGGATTGAATGGGTTCACAGGCAAAATCATGAGGAACCCATTACTTTAGGCTAGGAATGAAGTCGAAATCAAGGAACAAAACTCCCCAAAAACTAGGAATAAAGTGAGGCAAAGCGGGAAACTGCGAGCAAAAGAGAAGAGAAAGGAGCTATGGAACAGTGAAGCAGAGATTTCCTTCTCAATGGCCCAAAAAAGAAACACACAAAGAAGAAAAAAAGAAGGAAGAACGAACTTGAGAATGGGAATGTTGGGAGAAACAAAAATGAGAATGAGAGGGAGAGCAGAAAATTACAGGAGGAAGAAAGTCGTGGCGTCGGTTTCTTGCCCCTCTCTCTCTCTCTCTCTCTCTCTCTCTCTGCTGTCTGTGGAGGAAGAAAGATGGAGGAGGGAAGGGGAAGGAGTGTTGGAGTGGGAAGCTGCTACTTCTGCCGCGTCCAAACGTCGTTCAAGTTCGTTTTCTTCTTTGTTTATTTATCAAAGAAGGGAATATTTTTGGTTTTATGCATTTGGTTTCTCTAATATGTTTTTACGAGCTCCATTGAAGAAAAGGAGACACCGATTTCTTTGAACAATTAAAAATAACAACAACAAAAAAAGTACTACCAAGGTTTAGGGAGGGCCGGATGATTTGTTATGTGTTTCTTTTTGAATTTCAGTTAACTAATTGTCCTAAAATTTGGAATTACGCGTTTCTTATATTTTGGAAAAGTTAATGACGAGATGATCTCTTCTAATTATCATATTTTGAATAAGTAAGAAGCTAATAACTAAATGATTAATCGAATTTGTCAGTAACCGTTGAGTTATTAAGTAGTTGCAAGATAATAAAAAATATGATCAAAGTTTACTCTAAATGTAAAAAAAAAAAAATTGTTGGGAACTGATATTAGGGCTGGCTATTTGGTCCGGGTTTTTGGTTTTACCAGAAACCGGACCGTATAACCCGGACCGGGACCGGATAGTAAACAACCAAATTCAATCTTTGGTCTTGGATTTGAGGTAAAAAAACCATTCGGGACCGGATCGAAAACTAGATAAAGAGCGGGTAAGAGAGCTCAACATCCAAAACTTAAGGGTAATTTGCATAAACGGTCACAAACATTTGCACTTAGTACAAAACTTAACCAACTCCTCACCCTTTCAGGTCTTAGGGCACTCAAATCCCCACAAGCTCGATATAAAATCAAGACCGAATTGGAACCGGACCGGGTCAAAACCGGACTGGATCAAGACCGGACTGTATCAAATCCAATCTTTGGTCCTTACATATTCAAAAAGACCGGACTGGACTGGATCAATTTGGCCCAATTTAACCGGACCGGACCGTATAGCCACCCCTAACTGATATAATCAATATCTATATATTCTTATCATAAAGTAACAAGTAATAAACCATAGTAGATATTATATACGTTAAACAATTACATCTAAAACAATGTATTTAATCAATTTATATTCTTTTTTTTTTTGACAAAAGATAATCAGATATATTGATAACAAAGAAAGTTACAACGTGGCACAAAGCCAACCCATGAAATCAAACCAGCGACTTGCAGTCGGATACAATAAAAGGGCTTTCCTGGCCACCCTATGGGCCACCCAATTGTTCCTACGACCTACAAACCGCACTCTATAACCACTATTCATTGACAAGTATCCCAGGACCTCCTCCAAAATAGCACCTATTTTGCTATCCCTGGTATCAGCTTGCAGAAGCTTGTCAATCACCACCTTAGCATCCCCCTCAAAGCGCACTTCCGATATCCCCATACCTAAGCACCAACGGATCGCCTCCCGTAAAACCAGTACTTCCGCCACCATAGGATCATCCACCACAACAAACTGAATCCCTGTAGCTAACATGAGCTGACCCTCTTGGTCGAGGAGGACCATCCCGCCTGCCGAATGCGATCCATGCTTAGTGGCACCATCCCATTGGCAAACCAACATATCACCTCCTGCACCATTACCAGGCTGCATTGGTTGCGTTGGTTTCTCACCCCGGCGAATGCTCTGATCAGTAGGAAGCTGGGCCCATTCCTGAAACTGCTGATAATACTGGCGCATGAGCGCCGATATCCCGAATTGCTTGCCCTCGAATACCACCCAATTCCTTGATCGCCAGATCCTCCATAAAAGGGCCACCACTGCCCACCACTGGTCCGGGGACACAACAGCCAACAACTTTTTGAGGAAAAAAGGAAAGGAGCGGCGCGGCAGAGCCTGACCCAGATCATCCAGCCCCGAGTGGTCCCAAAGGGCCCTAGCCACCGGGCAGTCCCAAAATAAATGCTCCATCGTCTCCTTTGCTGCCCAGCACACCGGACACCGCGGGAGGACCCCCACCTTTTTCTCAATTAGGGCCTCTGTTGTTGGAAGGATCCTATTGAAAATTTGCCAAATAAACACCCTTAGCTTAGGCGGAATGCTAGAGGACCATAACCGAATCCAACTAGCCCTGTCCATCCAACTTGCCGTTGCCCTCCAAGGACCTTCCTGCTTATCCAGAAGAACGGCCAAATGATAGGCCGATTTGACAGTAAAAACCCCATCCGGCGTATCATGCCAAATCAAACGATCCTCCACCTCATGCCGGGGGATCGGAATAGCCTTAATTGCAAGGCACGTCGCCGGATCGAACCATTGACTAAGCTTTTGATCACACCACCCCCCCTCCGTCTGACAAATTACTTCTGCCACCTTCAAACTCTCCCCAGCAGGAATCACCTGGGGGTTATGCACCGGCACCTGCGGATGGATTCGGGGGACCCAGTTTGAATCTAACAACGGAGCCGTCCTTCCATTCCCAATTTGCCAACGTGAGCCCTTTACAAGCAACTCCCGCCCATACAAAATGCTTTGCCACCCCCAAGACGGACGCGACCGCGCATTAGCTGACAGGAACGACCCTCTTGGAAAGTACTTCCCTTTGTATACCTGGGCAATCAGAGACTGGGGTTCATTAAGGATCTAATCAATTTATATTAGATCGATCTAAAACGAACTTAGTTATCCGATGGAAGAAAACATTGCATTACCCTCTCTTAAGTTTCTGAGCTAAAAAAATGGCTATCTCGATCTACACTTGTTGATTAAAGCCATTGTGAGTTTCTAGCAAAAATATATATTTTTAGAGCTTTGAGAGCACCAAAGCTATTATTTCTTCTCTTTTCCCAGCTTTCTTTTTAAAAGATGAAGTGAAGAAGGGTTGAGTCACGTCACGTGCGATCGAATAAAGGCCTATTCTGAATTTTTTAGGACTAAAATTCATATTTCAAATTTTCAACAAAATAAATAATGAAAAGGAATAAAACTAAAGTGTTGCCGAATAAACATATTTTTCGAACTTACAAAGTAAGATGTAGACCAATTTCAATCTCATTTAGGTTGTGAATAAATAATTAATACTTCAAAAGCGTTTAAAACATTTAAACTATTGAGATGAACAAATTCGGTCCCAAAAAGAATTTAATTTCAACAAAAACAAATCTCAATTTTTTTGTTCTTAATGCATCATCAAAAAAAGGATTCTTAAAATTATAATAATTACATATCATGAAGTCCCAAGTCCTAACACATAGAATCTCCATTTCAGATAAGGTAACTCACTCATGAAGAGGCTTTTGTTGATAGGCAATCAATTGAATGCACAATTTATTGAAGCTCTTGCTACACTCCCAATCAAAACTGAATCCCCTTACACCTCTCGTCTATTGTTTTCGATTTATCGATTTAAACCGAAACCCATAATGTACAAACAATTTGGAATATATATATTATTAAATATATATAAAAAAAAGCGATACCAATGATATTCTTATCGGTCCAGTTTCGATCAATATCCCAACACTATTATTTGCTTGCTTCACCGCCATAGAAGTCTACCATGAAGATGAGCTAAACCATCATCAATAGGGATGGCAAAGGGGCGGGTTTGGGGAGGGTTTGGCTAAACCATCCCCATCCCCATATTCAAATATCCAAACCCATACCCGCCCCATACCCACGCGGGCAAATGTTTAGCAAACCCATCCCCATACCCGTGGGTTTCGGGTACCCATGGGTAATACCCATACCCGTACATCCAACATTATTATCCTAAAATTTACATGAAAAGTTTTAACTACAACTCTAAACGTACCTATTATATCATGAATTCAACAAAACGCGATCATTTTCTTAATACGGTTCAAAGAATATGATCCTAAAACATTCATTAATAAATAATATAGAGTATAATATTTTTCAAATTATTATGTTCTAACTCTGATACATCTACTAAGTAATAATTAACTAGCATAATCTTGTTGACAAGGGGGAAAGTGAAAGAGTGAAAAGAGAATTGAGAGAAATGAATTAGGTTTTTATTAAGGTGGTCACTCAATTGCATTTCTACTATTTATTTCCTCGAGGTATCCTCATCACCATTGATAGGTTACAATTTTATCCATATATTTTTGTATATGTGAATAAATTCTCTTGGTGGGGCGGATATGGGTATGGGTATGGGGCGGGGAGGCTAAAACCATACCCGCCCCATACCCATCAAACTTTTTGCGGGTTTTACCCATACCCGGTCAAAGCGGGGATTACCCACGTTGACTAGATCGGGGGCGATCGAGTACCCGCAGCCATAGATTTGATTGCCATCCCTAATCATCAACACCTACAAATAAAGAAGTGGGAAAGAAGTAGTGGTGGTTTGCATGTTGCACCGCCGGACACCATCATAAGTCAAAGGAGGGTGGTGTTGGTTGGTCGAGAAATAGGCAGACGTGGATAGCGGACCGGCCTTTTCGGTGGGAAAATTAAACCCAGCCAAAAAAAAAGGGTGGATGGATCTCTATGTAGAAACTCAGCAACCCAAGGCAGAAGCAAAACCACCATTAAACAAATGCAATCAAACACAGTCACAGGTCAGGTGGGAAAACCACCATTAGAGAATGTACAATCACATGCTGAACATTCAATAACCAACATTGTTGTTCATGAGGAGAAACATGAAGATACCATGGATAAAACCGGGGGTTGTACATCAAAATCAAGTCTTTCCTGCATCAGGTTCTCACCAAACGGAACCTTCAAGCCGTTATGAACACACTAGTTGAGAAGTAAGGAGGAACTCCCTGGCTAAATTGAACGAGGCGTTTGTGTAACATGTAGAGCATGTTTTACCCTGGAGAGTTTGGTAAGAGCTCGTTGCGCCGTTTAGTAGATGGTTTGCACGATTACAGGTACTTTCTGGCTAGAGCGCGGACTTTTGTGTCGAAATGTGAAGAAGCAATGCGGGCACCGGGCAGGTAGAGGGGGTTCAGCAGTACCTGCATTGATCATCATACGTTAACCAAGGAACACGGATGAAGAATTGGTTGGTGCTGGAACACCAAGACCCAGCAAAAGGTCTTACAACATTGGATAGATGTTTAGATTTTAAATGGCTTTGCAAAAAGAGCTAATATGAACTTTGGCACGGGACTGGTATTTGCCCACTACTTGAGGAGCTGGAACTCTCTTTGCTAGGATTGTAATGCCAAAACTGTAGAGTTTAGGGTGTGTGGATTCCAAGTTCTTCAACTATGCAAAAGACAAATGCACCAGAGAGTTGCCAAAAGTTAACAAACTGCGTCATATTATAGGTATGGCTTCTAAATTGCTATCAAAATAGAGTAATAATCTTTACTTCAGGGTCATGCTTTTAAATCTCCGATGAATCTAGGTGAGCAACTAATAGCAGCCAAAATATGGTTCTTGAAATCTATGAGATGTTTGTGAACATATGTCGTCAGAACCTATAACACATTTTACCCTCCCCCATCTTCGTAAGTCCAACGTTTCAGTTCATCTCAACTAACAGACCTAGCTAGTTTTTTCACAGTTGACAACTGAAAAACCAACACATGAACAGAGCATCCAAGTCAGAACAAGTTTACCTTTATATAAAGTTCATGCACCTCCTGAAAAAAGCTCTTAATCCCATCATCATTGCGGGAGTCATGAAGTAGCATCAATCGTGTATGTTTGAAAATGTCAAGGAAATACCTGATACTGAATGCTTTAAGTGTAATGCATCTTACTGACTTATCTATCCACGAGCAGCACAGATTAGATTGTGCTTTGGACTACAGATCGAGTGGTATGCATGTTTAGAGACTCTAAAATGCTGATGCACAGATTACGGTAGTCACCATTAACAAGTGTGAAATTCTAATGTGCAGATCCTGGTAGTCACCACAAATGAAGAGGTATACTGTACATGCTAGCATGAAACTTTAACCAACCAAGGAAACTACTAAGTCAGGGTTATATTATGTGCAGACAAAGTTATCCCTGCTTTGCCTAGTTAATCCTTGCGAATAACTACTACTTAAGATACTAGCAACGGCGATGATAAAGGGAATCAATATATAAAAAGGATATGACCAGCTGTAACATACACCGATACCACCAGGTCGTTGAACCTGTCAATGTTTTTCAAGAACCTGTTACACAAGCAAGGAAATGAACCGTCAAGGATCATTTGATAAACGATAACACTAGAACATAAAATTAAAACTGCATTGATGAATGAAGAGAACAGGGGTTGAGAAGATAGGAAAATACATGGCACTAGTGGTCCAAGCGAGGTCCTGAACAATATCTAACGCTGCATGTAGTACAAATTGATGCAACTGAGCTGCATCCTCTCTCTGTAGTCATGATCCAAAAGCGAAACACGAAATGTCAAATCCAGGGCATCGAAGAACCACCATCAAAGTAACTTCTCATCAGCTTTTCGTCTACTGGGTTTTCATACACTCAAGAAAAATGCAATGCTGAATTGCACAAAGTTCCATCCGAAAGCTAATCTATCCAGAAGATCGACATGCCCAATCCAAAGGTTCCAATTTCATATATGTTCATGAAGAATTCAAAACGAAAATGGCTATATGGATTGCAAGCAAATGAACAATAGCAAAAGATCGGGAGCAGAGATCAATTTACTTTAGTAGCAGATCCAACTTCAGCTTCATATATCGGGATGTCATTCCGGCTCACGATGATAAATGACGCAGTGGTCGCCATATCCCTTCAAAGTTCAACCAACCAAAATGAATGAACTCAAACTTTCAGATAGTTAATTACTTAATTTCTAGTTCTAGGAGAGAGAGTTCGAACAATTCAAAGGCGGGGAATCTCGGAACACAATCAGGGAGATCTATCGTCTACCTGAATCAAATCTACTGCTAATGATACCACTGTTAGCTTTCGGATTCAGGAAGCTCGCATTTCCTTTTACTCTCCAGTTTTGGAATCTAAGGAAGAGAGAACAGAGAGAGGGAAAACGTACTTCTAGCGGAGGTGATCGTTTGGTGGCTTTAGTAGAAGAAAGTGAAAGACAGCAGATCAGGATGCGAGGAAGCCCTCGACTTCCCTGCAATGAAATACCTACAGAAGACGAAATTGCTTCGTTTCGCCAACCGGAGAACAGTGCAAACAATGGCGATTGAGGAGACCGACAAGAGGTGCGACGGCGAGTCGGCGACCAAGAAAGCGGGAACGCGAGCGAGGAACAGATAGTGAGATCAAAGTTCAAAGCCCCGGACAGTAGTGAACGGCGAACAAAGAAAAGGCTTATTACCAATGTAACGCCTCTACTTGATACATCTAACAAATCTGTCCCTTAACTTGGGACTTTTCCACAACACATCGTTGAACTATTTATATCCTAACAATCAAGTCCTTTCTTGAGTTTTCTTTACTTGCAGAAAGCTTAAACAAATCTGACTCATTAAAATTGAGCCACAAAAATGAGGTAATTGTTCACTCAACAATGGCATCACTACTATCATACACCTAGCCTACAGCCGCTTGCCTCTTTCACAGTCGATTTTGTGTTGCCGACGAGACTCGCCGATGAAGACCCGACAATTTCGCTGCTCCACTTCCTTCCTAGACATTTGGCTTTGAAAACGATATTTAGGGTTGTAAGAAATGAGAGCAGGAGTGATGTTTGCTATAAGTTGTTCATGGACTTGAAGTTTCATTATCCCTTTCCAAAAGGGATCCAAACATGATATCATACACCCTGCCAATTGATCACATTAAGCTAAGCTCTATGTGCTGTTCTCATTGATCTTTCCAAATAATGCTCAAACAAAAGAGAGGGAGATGGAGAGGCACCTTGCCACGGTCCTCGATCCATCGACAAATCCCTATTACAGAGACATTTGCAACTATAATATAGGAAGTCTTTCAGACACTGTTCGGAGTGCGAATAGCAACATCTATATTTCTATAATGCTGTTTCTATAGCGGCATGAGTCTTCTGTACTTGAAGAACCATACAAATGCACAGAATATGGTAATCCCGCACACTGCTGTGATCATAAGCACCCACTTAAAAGCACCTGGGTAATCAAACAGAGGTATCGCAAAGTTCATGCCGAAGACACCTGCTACTACCCCAAAAATCGCCACGACGAATGTAGCAGTAGTGAGTATCAGCTCGAATTGGATCAGCTGATTTCTGACGTTATCCTGCAAAACCACGAATCTCAACTTAGTACAAAATCAAACGACGTGGACAGCTGCTATTAATTTCGTCACCCACTCAGAATGTAAACTCTCGCTTAATGTTTCCAGGGTTCAAGTTCCAGATCACTTAGAATCTTGCGCCTCTATTTGATCCAACTATAGCTTTACTTCTATTGTGTGCTTCTATTTGACGAGATAAGAAGCTGGAACAGGGACAAAGAGAGGTACCAGCTGGATATTGATGAAATCTTCAGTGTCATCAATGTACTCCTTCAACTGAACACAAAGTGGATCATCAGAAAACAAATATTGCAGCGAGCCAACAAGCGAAAGGAATGAGAGAAGGAAAAAAAAAAGGTGAGCTGCTCTTACCGATGTCAACTTGTTTAAGGTACTATCAATGACCACAAAATATGCTTCCAGCAACATTTCCAACTCCTCTATACTCTCAGTACCGCTTTCTGAGCTCCTCATGCTTTCATGTCGACTCCTAGCAATACTCAAGCACTTCTCCAGCCGCCTGGAATCAGGTGGTGAAGAAACAGGGGAAACTGGAGCTGAAGCGGATACCCCTCCATCATTTGACTTGAATCCTATAGAGCCCTGTTCATAAAACGATGACTCCATTCGGCTTTTCTTTTCAGTGAGGTACATTTCAGCCATATCTCCATCATCATCCATCAGCTGCTCTATCTCATCCCTAACCTGGATTGTATGGCCCAAGAGAGATGCAAGAGAACACAACCATATTTTAACGAATGTTCACATCCAGAGTTTTGGAGGAAAAATTGGGATGCCTTTTACCTTCTGGACTCTTCTGGTTAAAGCTACAAGTCTGCTTTTTAATCGACGCACTCGTTCCAAATTGAGTGTGCTGATCTTGGATGTCAGTTCATCTAGCAATGGGTAGGCTTCAATCTCTAACTCTGCTGCCTTTGATTATATGAAATAAAATCACCGACTTAAATCGCAGCAGAATTTTAAAGAATGAAAGATAGCAGACCAAACAAGACCTAATAGAGCACAATGCTCTCTCGTTACTCCTAGTAGGCAGATTTTCAATTTCCTACATATATATGACTAAGAAAAAACTAACTGGAAATAATTTGGCAGATGATCAATTTGTTACATGTACCTGGACAAGCGAAACCTACCTGAGCAAAAGGCTCTTATTACTCCAATTAGGCAGATAATATCTCAAATGTATATGGACAGGAGCAACATATACAGAACATATTAATAATGAGGACGCCATGCTGGTGTTCCATTTTATTTTATTTTTCGTTGAATGCTGGTGTTCCAGTTCCAGTTCCAGTATGAATACAATCGTTATTTTGTGATGAAAGGAACAACTGAGTGAAAAAGTTCCAAGAAGAAAACGAATTGAGGAGACATTATGACCGACGATCTTTTCACCCCAACTCTTCCTACGATAATCAACCCTGAATCTTCTCAAGGAAGAATTTTGAGAGACAATGGATTACAAGTTCTTTACAGCCCCTAGCTGGGAGCATTAAGCTTTACAGCGCAAAATTCATAAAAATTTAACTCCGGCATATAATGGGACAAACAGGGACATTTAAAACTTTTGAGCATTACTTCTTACATAGCATATGCAAACTAAGTCATATGCATGAAGCCTTAAGACATATAATCTATACATTGCACCAAACCCAGAACCCAACTTTATAAAGGAGGTTCTTATAATATGTACAACTGGTCAATATACTAGAATGCCCCTTACATCCAATGAGGATATCCATGCAAGAACCTAAATACCTGAGCATATTATTGAAGAACTGCTAGCAAATACTTATAACCTTATCCGTTTTATCAGTATGAACAACTAATGAGGAACTACAATTAGACAGCTAAATGCTGGGTTTAACCTCAAGACAGACTAGCAAAGCAAATGGTCTATACAGGCAGTCAACAAGAACAAAAGAGCCCAATGTTCAACTTCGATTCTCCCATTGAGACTTACAAATTATCCCTGAACCATGAATAAAATCAATCTACGTGAGCGTCTATGAAGATGCTAGGTAAAGGGCATGCAAAATTCTTAACAATAACCTCACTTTTTTACTTGGGTTACAAAGCAGTAGCAGGTATGTTCCATCTAATACAATGAACGACTTGATTCGGTTATTTCCAAGAGTTGCACTACATATCAACCAAATAGCCAGAGAGTGCAAAGAAACAGTCACTATGAAATATTAAAGCACTTCATATGTATGTGTTTGGGCAAGTAGATATCAGATTGATGGAGCAAACCAAGTTGAAATTCTTTTCAATCACACACCTGAGAATCAAGGAAAGTGCAGGCAGCCTCCAGAGCAACCTCGAGTGCCTTAAACTCAAACGGCAAATAATCCGGGGATGGAGTGCCAAAAACACTATCGTAAATCCTACTACTCCTCCTTCTATTCAATTCCGGACCTTCCGACTGCCAAACCTCACCTACTCCAGCTGTAGTCAGTCGCCGTTGCAGCTCTACCACATACTGCAGCACATAGTTGTCAAGCGAATTCAGAAGTAGAACCTCATCAGCTGTAATTATGCACCTAATCTGCTCTAAGTTCACAACTATAGCCTTCTCTCGTCCAAGAATCGTCGAAGGGTAGACAAACAGAGGGTCGAGCAGGCGAAGATCGCGGGCAGGTAAATCACAGCGCCTCATCATAGTAAACTTGTCAACCTCGATAATCTGGGAGTTGCCAGATGAATCAACCCGTATCCAAGACCTAAGTCCCTGCCCACGTTTCTTCAAACCCATAACATCCACCCCTTGAAATGGCTGACGACCAGAAGCTGACGGCCTATATGACCCATCCCTAAGGTTTACTGCTGATGCTGTTTTTGGTGGAAGCAACCGCTCTTTGAGATCCGCCATTGGCGATTGGTAATGCACACAGAACGAACACAAGAGAATGAAAACAAACAACCACCAATGGCCCCCTTTTCCCCGCCTTCCGTTACAAACAAAGGAAAATTCTAGTGAAGGACAGGAGTTCAACCCTTCCAGCAGATTTGGAAGTGCTGGATGCTCTCCTATTTCAATTCCACAGGAAGCTCCAATTATAAAACGAACACGGAAAATTGCAAGCGAAAAGGCGGCACCTTGCGAGGGCTTCGGTTCCGACGATTAACGAATGATTGGAATCATTTCCAGATGAAGACGGGTATGTGTCCTATCGCCTCCCCTTCGTTTTCTTCCCACCGATCAGTCTCTCCGTCGCCGTACTGAAGTCCGTTATCTTCTCCTTCCTCGTTATTCGTAGTCGGCGACTCCGCCGTTGGATTGCGGCAGCAATAACAATCTTTATCCGGGGGACCTTAGCCTTCGCGCGCGGACCGCCACCGGGTACGATAGAGGTTTCGATTTTCGACACGCAGAATCACGCTGGAAAGTTATGCAGTAGGACGGGACCCGAATCCCGGTCGATTATCTTTGGTGGGATTCTTTTCTGAGGTTGCTGTTGATTTTCCTGCTATGCTGTTTGGTCAAGAAGGCGTTGGGCCAAATCCTAGCATGTCGACGCCAAGGTGTTTTTTTTTTTTTTTTTTTCTGAGGTAGATATGTAATAGATAGGGAATTACAAAGAGTTGTAAAATAAATAGCGGTAATCAGCCAAGTGCTGATTTACCGATGCAAGAGCCATTTTCGCCACGCAATGGGCAGCCCTGTTAGTTCTACGAGGAGAGTAAACAAAACGAATAAACGCGAACGAAGCTTTCAGCAACCTAACTTCCTCCAGAATCAGCCCACCCCGATTGTGCTGAACTTCATTCTCCATTGCTCGCCGGATCACCAGTTGAGAATCGCCACAAAAACAAATAGATGAAAATCTCAACGCTAAAAGTTCCAATAAGAATGGATCGAATAAGCCTTCATAATACTTACCGTAGGCATGGAGGATCATATCTGATGCCGAGATACCCACAAAACCGATACTGCCGCCAACTTCCCGGCGGGTCGCCCCGTCAAAGCGAATCAACAAACCCCCTGGCGGACAGGACGGAGAAGGTGAAGTGTTTGGGAGACGACCAGGGGCATTCCTGTGTTGCGTGCCTGTCGCTGTTGCTGCTACCCACTCGTCCCTTTGCTGCAGAAATTGGCGAAGAAGAGGGCCTGGCAAATACTGGACTCGATCATAACAAGACCAACAACGAGCCTTCCATATTCGCCAAATGAGGAACAGGATCTCCGCCATCTCTAGCTTGATGAGCCGCAGTGATTTAAACATAACAGACCAAGCCAAGTCAGGGGAAAGATTCGCTACCATAACTCTAATGTGCTCTTTTCCAGCCAAGCTCCAGACCCCTCGAGCTATCCTGCATTCAAAAAGACAATGAGAGATGGACTCTATACCCGAAGAACAAACAGGGCATTCATTTGAATCGCATAGGGATTTAAGCTGCAGAATTTCTTGGCATGGTAGAAACCCGCGGACAACCCTCCACAGAAAAAGTTTGAGCTTGGGCGCAACCGGCAAACTCCATAGTGTTTTCCAAAATTGAGAATCAAGATGCGGCGGAAGGTTGGAAAACATCTCTGCTCGCTCGTCCGAGAGGAGGTGGTATCCGGACTTCACTGTATATTCCCCTTGTTCCAATTCCGGGATAGGGGATGAATCAAGGAAGCCACAAACTGTTCCGTAAGTTGAACTCCAGGCAGCAGGATCGGAGAAGAAGGAGGTGATGTAGGTAGCCAAGGATCGTCGAGAATTCTGATTGCTGTCCCACAACCGACCTGCCACCGAAGACCTTTGCACAGGAGCTTACGACCTTCTAGAACGCCTTGCCAAGCCCAAGATGGTCGATTTCCCGTTGGAGCATTGAGAAATGAGCATTGGGGGTGATACCTCGCTTTATACATCTTCGCCAACGTGGCAGATGGGGATTGTAAAATCTTCCAAGCTTGTTTTGCCAACATGGCTACGTTGAATAAGTCAAAATCCCGGAATCCCAATCCGCCCCTAAACTTACTGACACACACTGCTGGCCAGGCAATCCAATGAATCCCTTTCTCCTTGTCCTGACTCGCCCACCAAAAGCGAGAGAGTTGACCATTCATTCAACGACATGAGGTGGCTGGTAAGCGAAAAGACAGCATCGCATACACCGGGGTCGCTGAACCGACAGCTTTTATAACCACTTCCTTTGCTGCCAGGGAAAAAGACTTCGACTTCCAGCCGTGTATCCTCTTGGCCAAGGCATCCTCAATAAACCGGAAAGTTTGGACTTTAGAGCGTTGCACTTGAGCAGGTAAGCCAAGATACTTGTTTAATGCACCAATGGATTCCACTCCCAGCAAGTTCGCCAACGCAGCAGCATCTTGGTCTGAAACGTTGGAACTGAAGCATACCTTTGACTTTTGCAGGTTGATCTTTTGGCCACTCGCAGCTTCGTAGACACCAAGCAATTGCAGTAGTTGATTGCATTCCGTTGTTGAGGCTCGCAAAAACAAATAGGTGTCATCAACAAACATCAAATGAGAATTCGTTGGGGCTGAATGATGAATTTTCAGACCATGTAATTGCTGAGACGCCAGGGCATTAGAAATCAGGGTGGAAAATGCTTCTGTGTAAATTGCAAAAAGGAGAGGAGATAACGGATCACCTTGGCGGAGACCCCGTTCAGGCCGGAAGTATCCATGTGTGTTGCCATTTAGGAGAACTGAGAAAGTGACAGTAGTTACACAAGCCTTAATAAGTCTGATCCAGGAAGAATCAAAGCCCAGAGACTCCATAACAGCAAAAAGGAAGTTCCACTCCACTCGATCGTAAGCTTTTTCCATGTCGAGTTTCAATGCCATCCACTTGTCTCTACCTTGGTTTTTCGTCTTGAGAAAATGCATCACCTCCTGTGCGATAAGGATGTTGTTCGAGATATCCCTTCCTTTGACGAAGCCATTTTGAGTATCACTAACCACAGAAGGCAGCACCTGGCTCAACTTTGATGATAACACTTTTGAGATGATCTTATAAAAGACCTGGCATAAACCAATTGGGCGCATCTGTTTCATCGTATCTGCATTAGGGACCAATGATCTCCCAATAAGCTCGATAGAACGCAGCAGTAAATCCATCGGACCCTGGGGCCTGGGTCGCACCAATGCTAAAGACCGCTGCTCGGATCTCCTCCCTAGAGACCATATCTATGAGGAATCTGTTTTGAGAAGAGTTGACCTTTCGCGGCAATCCAAGAGATTTAGCTGGCTCTTCAATGTGAATCCCCCCGTTTCATCACGGAGTAACTCTATTTGGTTCTGCCGTCTCCGCTGAGCAGTCGTTATATGGAAATAGTTCGTATTTGCATCCCCTTCCCGCAGCCAGCTGTTCCTTGACTTTTGTTTCCATAAAATCTCTTCCTGCTGGTATGCTGCCACTAATTGAGTTTCCAGGCCCTGTATGGTGTTCCATTCGACAGGAAAGCTTTCCCTGGCAGCTTCTATTGCTAGTCGTAGCTCTCTAATGAGTCTAGCCGAGTTCGGCGTCCCCAAGCGTGCCCATTCCACGAAGCAGTGTCTCGCTGATTTGAGAGAGGAAAAGAGCTGGAATTGAGGCGTTCCAATATACACCTCACCCCAAGTTTGCTGCACAATGACCTTGGCTTCCTCCTTTGGTGTCCATCTCCTATCAAACTGGAATCTGGGTTTGCCTTTACCTGCTCCAGGGATCAGCTGCAGTAGGATCATCCTGTGATCAGAGCCAAGATCAGTCAAGTGTGAAACCTGCATATTCGGCCAAGCTTGAATGATTAGTTCACAGCCTAAGCTACGATCAATCCGTTCAAGGATGTGGGTGGAAAGTCCTTGACGATTTGACCATGTGAAAGGAGGGCCTTTAAATCCCAAATCCAATAGACCTACACTATCAATGAATGAATGAAACTGTTCCAGAACCGAGAAGGAAGGAGGCCGACCTCCCTGTTTTTCAGAGGCAAACAATATGCAGTTGAAATCACCAATGACAATGGTAGGAATGGAACACAACGTGATCAAATGTAGTAGTTCATTGAATTGATTACCACGAACATGTACATCATAGCTTAAATGAACAAAGAACACAACAATACTACCCCAAACGATGTGTTGTACCTCAACAAATATATAAAACGCAGCTGAACCTAACACATGACTCTGGACATTCGAAGCACACGCAAACGCTAGGCCACCAGCCCTCCCAACCGGGGATACACAACTGACCACGACATAACCTAAACGATTTAACTTCTTAATTACATAATCATCATCATGCTTCGTCTCACTTAGACAGACAATCGTGGGTGAGAATCGGCAGATGGCTCCAAAGAGGGATGGAATTGTCCGGGGAGAGCCAAGGCCCCGACAATTCCAAGCGAGGATGCTCATCGGTCAATTTGGGACCAGTCCGGGCTGGTTGCCACCACCGCATCAGGATTGCGCCGAGTTTGCAGAGGCTCGGAACCCTCTATCTTCTGTTTCTTACCCCCAGGATTGTGGATCATCAAGTCTGCCACGTCTGGTCTCTCGTGAGCCAAGGCTGGAGACCCTGACATGCCCTCACCCTCATTCAGGATCAGGGCTGCTGAGGAGCACGCTGTACCTGGAGCTGGGAGGAGTTTGAGTCCTCCCTGATCTGGTTGAGGAAGAGATAGATCTCTAGCCTGGCGAGTACATGTCAAGCCTCGACGTCCCAGCAGGTTCTTCTCGTTCACCTTAGGCCCCAACTTCTTGGAAATCAACTGCTTGCTATAAGGAGTAACCGTGCCCGCTAGTTCCTCCCGGCGAGGACATTGTTGTCAAATGTGACCCAGAATCCCACACAAGTAGCAAAATTGTGAGAGCTTCTCAAATTTCACAGTGGCAGTAAATTGACCTTTATCTGCCTTCTCATGTGATGCTGGAATAAAGACCGGAAGCGGGAGGCGAGAGTCCAGCCACACACAAGCCTCAAGTAGACCTCTATCGTTCCCGCCGCTCGATGAACCGCGCCAGGATCTGTCTTCCCCAGGTAACCGCCAAGAAGCGTGGCCATTCTCATTGAGCAGCAAGGAGTGGGAACTCCCCAAAACTGAAGAAAATGGGGGACCCGCCACATCTGTTCTGCAATTTCCGGAGAAACGGCCACCCAAGGAGCCAAGTTCACCAAGTACTTGGGTAGAATCCAAGGTGCCATCCTCAAGACCCTATTCATGTCAGCCGTGTTGGGGAAAATGAATTGGAGCAGCCCCTCTTCCGCTGGGAGAATCGACAGCGGCCCGTTACAGTTCCAGAGCCCCCCCCCCCAGGGTAGTGTGGAGTTGGCGGAGAGGGGGAAACGGACCAATGATCTTACCCAGCAAGGAGAGATCTTCGCGTTCAGCACCCGGAGCAACATCTGCATCTCCGAAAACCACCATGTTCCCCGCCGCCATGTTAATCACAGAGGGAAGGAGCAAGGAAGCAATTCGATTGTTCCGAGAGGTAGGATGAAGGAGAAGTCAATCAATGGCCAGAGAAAGAATGCCCACGGAGGGGGCTTTAAAAGCCCCATGGGATCGGTGGCCGATACCGGTGCGGCACGATGGCGGAGCAGCCGGTAACCGCT